CCCAATTTTTATACTAATAACAAAGCAGAATGAAAAGAAACCAAATATAATTGTACCCCCTTTGGATTCCCAAAACCCCACCCCTCCCTTTCCCGGTTTCGATCCCCAACAAATGTCCATCAGTCCGTCTGCTGTCAGCCTGGAGACCTCACGTCCGAGGCTCTTAATTCTCTCTCAATTCCTCTCTGGGGAGCCACTCTTTGTCAGAATGGACGTACCAAGATGGATGCACAAATGAAGAAAGTACAAGGCACCTTCCTGTGTGGTTTGCTTTGAACCAACCCACTTGCTCTGCAGGTTCTCTTCAATGTACTACTCTTTGCTTGTAATACATTGTATGTACAAGGGATGGGAATACAGAATAATCCTTTCTCTGGGCAAGCGGCTTCGCAAGTAACCTGTGGCCCTCCAGATGTTACTGAACTACAACTTCCATCAGCCTATATCCCCTACTTTACACTTACAAAATAACTGTTATCAGAAAATTAATGGCACACTAAAGTACAGACTACACACCTGCATCTTTAAACACCCATGGCTCAAGCAGGTGCAGATACCTGGTTGGTATGTCATCTACATTTTCATGATAGACTACCCAGAACAGTTATGTCTGCTGCATACATTTTCATGATGCATAAAATCAGGGGTGCACTCAACAACACAGACAAGCTATCATCTCTTTTTTTTAATAAGCTGGGAAATTTAGAAGATCATATTTGTGGCTTTGCAACTATTATATATTGCCCCACCACCACTACCACTCAGTTTAACAGCAGGGACATTTCTTTCTTTATAAAGCAGCAGATAGCTAACCTACTGCTCTCCAGAAGTTGCGCAACTCCAACTCCCATCAGCCCCAGTAATCATGGTCACTAACCAGAGGTGATGGCAGTTGTAGTCTAGCAACATAGGAAGGACCATAGGTTAGGCACCTCTGGTGAACAACAGTTGCTTTGGGGAAGGAATGCCACAGTACAATACTGAAACTAACTTATCGAAGCCCTGTCAAAAGAAGGCCTGTGCACCTTCCCCTATCCTGCTGAATAATGAAAGGTCAGCTAACTTGTCAATTTATAGATCATCATCTGAGGCCCTTCCTCATGCACCTCCTCCACAAGAGGGTGGCAATAGGAGAACGGGCCTTTCCTGTGGTGGCTCCCTGCTTGTGGAATGCACTCCTCCGGGAAGCTCGCCTTGTGCCTTCATTACATATATTTAGGCGCCAGGCAAAAATATCCCTCTTCTCCCAGGTCTCTGGCTAATTAAACAATCTATGGCCTTTTAAACTGTTTGGGGGGGTTATTGTTTTTGTTTGTCACCATGTTATGTATTTTTCTGTTTTCATACTGTAAACCACCCTGTGATCCTTGGATGAAAGGCGCTACAGAAATGTAATAAATAAATAAAAATTCAAATTAAAGCATGTGAGGTCACCGGCTTGAGTATCTGTGGAACATTTCAGAGACATGGAAAATTGATGACTGCTCTGCCAAAAGATTTGGCAAGAGTGAAGGAAATGCCAGTATCAGAAGTTAAAGGATTAAGAAACCCACTCAGCAGCAGTAAAAAAATCTTTATTACCCACAGGCATGCTTCTTGAGCACCGTGTAGTCCTCTCAATTATCCTCTTTTTTCTGTTAATGGCTTTTTTTTTTTTTTGAACAGAGAACAATGTGCATTTTTAAAAGAGATAATAAAAAGATTATAGCATCCCTTATGTGGCAGCCTGAATTACATATGTTGCTCTGGCCCCATTCCAGACAGAGGCTCCGTTTTAGGCAGAGAAGCAGCTGACATACAATTGCACACAATCAGTCATTACAATCAAGACTAGATAAATGTGGTCAAGTAGACAGGAAGTTGGATTTAGATTCAGAAGTCTGCTTCTGCTACATTGGCTTGCTTGGACCTAACACTAAATTATAAAGTATGGGAATGAGCCTTGGGCTTACATGCTGGTGCAGCAGCTTACTCAAAAACAAACACTGGCCCATTTCAGATGTAATGATAAAACAAGGTTTAGCCACACAGGAACAAGTCTTAGAGTCACACCCCCACCCCTCTGGTGTGATCACAAGGAAGAAATTAGAAGTTGCCACTGCCTGGTTTCAACTAACCAGATTTTCTTGTTACATCTGAACTGGGGATTCTGGTTAGTTTAAATTATGGTTTGTTGAAACAAGCCAGAATCATAAAGTGTAGGTTGTTCTTAGCTTGTTTCAATAAACCATGGTTTAAACGAACCACAGTTTTACCCTGTTGCCCTCTACCTCTGGGAACATTCTTTTGTTGCCCTCCACCTCTGGGAACATTCTAGGCTGTTGCCTGGCTCACAACCCATTGAGGGTTCTGTGAAGGCAATGATGGTATTAGCAGGCCCTTTCACATGGGATACAGGGCTGCCACGCCACACACAATGGTGCCAGTCTGAAAGGGGGATGTTTCTTGTTCCCACTTACACACATACATTTCCACAGTGTGCAGCTGCTGACACATACAACTAGTATCTCCATGGAATTTTTCCTGGCTTTTGATCCTGCTAGCATTTCCATGTGGCCCCCGAGGCCTACTAGTGCAGGCTATCGGTTCTGCTGAATAGGGCAACTGTCTTTCAGTGCTAAGTTTCCTATCTGCTTGGTCCACCATATGAAAGAGTTGAGGATGAAAGACAAGCACATGATTGCACAACACACTGCAAAGTCAAACAGCATATAAACATTATTTAGCAGTAGTCCGAAGAATTATGGGCTACGAGGCTCTTCCTGTCTGTGACCGAGGGATCTGCTGCATGGGGGGGCGGGGGATCACTCAGAGTATGTGTTTGTTTCCTGAGGGCAAGATGTATATTGCAGGAAAACAAAGAACCTGGCTGGCTATACTTCCTACCTTCTCTGAATTCACTGAGTGACCTCCTGCCAGGAGCTTCTGGGGCAGCACCAGAAACCTCCAGATCTGTGCTCTGCTGCCCTATAAACAGTTCCCTGGGCTATGATACCTTTTCACAGTTCACTCAGCCCATCTTGTCTGTTGGATTTCCCTGACCTACTAGGGCTTCTAAAGTCTCCCACTGCCTGGCTGTTAGACCCAGCTCCCATAAGGGCATGCAATGGACAATCACATCAAAATAAGAGAAGGGCATCATCTCCTCTGGACTGGAAACAAGCTGAGCTATTTTCTCTGTGTTAAAGAGTATGGTTTATTTCTAAGTCAAGCTGAATTTGAGTCACAGAAACCCTTGATCCCCCAAATCCCCACTTCACCCCATAACGCACGCCCAGTTAGGGCAGTAGCTCTCCAGCTATGGGGAGACAGAAAGAGGGAGGTATCTCTCTCACTTCCTCTCTATTCTGCTACTGACACTGCAGTCATAACAAGGAGCTCCTAGTGTGCAGGTGCATGCTAGGTGCACTACAGACACCTGCCCACCTCCCATTCAGACTGGAGCTGTCTGGGAGCTCCAGTAAGAGATGCTGAAATTGGAGAAGGCAGAGGAAACAGAAGCAGCAGTTTAATCAGAGAAAAGAAAGGGAGGCATGAAAGGGGACTCTGAGAAAGCAGGAAATTAATAGTCTTGCTGGGGAGAATGGGAAGCTGTGATTGCTAGGACTAAGCTACTAAAACCAAGTGATGTGGAATAAGATGGCAGAATTAACTGTAGCACTTTAGGTTGCAGGTGGAGGATTTTTATTTTTAAAAAGATGTTCAACTATGAAAAGTTTCCTGCAAGTAAAAAACTAGCACAGTTAGGAGAAGGCTGGTCTACAACAGGCATCCCCAACCTGTGGCCCTCCAGATGTTTTGGCCTACAACTCCCATGATCCTTAGCTAACAGGAGCAGTGGTCAGGGATGATGGGAATTGTAGTCCAAAACACCTGGAGGGCCAAAGGTTGGGGATGCCTGGTCTACAACCTCTTTCCCTTCATTATGTCTCAGTTTTCTTCATATGAAGTTATCATTGGGGGGGGGGAGACTATGCAACACTCAAAACTAGTATCCCCCTACCTGGACTCTCAGGTGATACAATCCATTCTATCACATTCTGCTTAATGCACTGCTCTGGCCAAAGGTAAGGAGAAAGAATGACAACTAGTGTTCCTTTACTCTTTCAAAGCTGCTCAAACGTTGCTGAATAGTCACACATTAGGTGCCCCCTCCTCCAGGGCATCCTATCTCAAAATCCAACAGAACAGAGAGCACTTTTTTTTATTTTACACCAGGATAACCTTCTGCACTGATTCTCTTCCTCTTCACTCTTTATCACATAGGGAGGAAAAGAAAATGACATCACAAGTTTTCTTAAGTAGAATGCTGGAAACAAAGCCAAGGATTCGGAACACGCTTCCGATCTAAATGCAGTATCTAGTCCACAGATGGGCCCTAAGGCAAAACTGGAAAACTGGAAGTGGTTTTGTTTTCACTGCAAAAGGGAAAATGCAGGTAGCCAGAAATATTTTATCTGAAACAAATGTACTGATTACAGGGTAACTCTCTCTGGAAACATAGATCATTACGACTGATGGTTATCAGAACGCACATGGGAGCCAAGTATCCAAAAGTTAATCATAAACACAACTCCCTCAGTTCTGAAATTCGAAGTCATCTAAGTTCCAGTGATATACTTGCAAAACAGCTTGGGCGTGCCCTCAGATGCAACATGGAACCTGCAGAGCTCCAGATGTTTCTGGACACCAACTCCCATCATCCCTATGCTGTCTGGGTCTGATGGGAACTGGAGTCCAGCAACATCTGGAGGGCTCAGAGGTTCCCCAGCAGTGTACTTAGCAAAGAAGTGGTTGACTAGAAGCTGTAACCATATGCATCGAAGTCATCTAAGTTCCAGTGATATACTTGCAAAACAGCTTAAGACTTACCTGGGGCTGAAGATGGAAAGGTTCTGAGGACTCAAACATCCTCCCAAGGCAGTCAGACCTGGCTTTGATTTGCAAGAACCATTTTCCAATTTTAAACCTACAGGGGACTGAATGAGACCATAACCTACTTGAGCAGATTTCCAAGATTGAAGAGGGCCCGGTTGTGCTGTGGATTCAGCTGGAGGGCTCTGCTGTAGTATTCCTTTGCTTCTGCCAAGTCTTTGGTCAATGTCCCAAGGTTGTTCAGGGCACTTGCATGACGTGGGTACAACCTGAGGGTACAAGAAGGAAGTTGATTGTCTTGTTGTAAACAAAGAAGGCCATCAAACCCATTTCAACACAGCCTCCACTCTTGCAAACTCTAAAGCTGTTCCAGTCCAGTTACTTCCCTGCTTCAGTGTGCAATCCCATACATTGTTACTTAGAAGTAAATGTGTTCAATGGGGCTTAGTCCAGGTAACTGAGCATAGGACCTCAGCCCTTTTATGCAAGTACACGGGTGGCGCTGTGGGTAAAAGCCTCAGCGCCTAGAGCTTGCCGATCGAAAGGTTGGCGGTTTGAATCCCCGCGGCGGGGTGCGCTCCCGTTGTTCGGTCCCAGCGCCTGCCAACCTAGCAGTTCGAAAGCACCTTCGGGTGCAAGTAGATAAATAGGGACCGCTTACTGGCGGGAAGGTAAACGGCGTTTCCGTGTGCTGCGCTGGCTCGCCAGATGCAGCTTGTCACGCTGGCCACGTGACCCGGAAGTGTCTCCGGACAGTGCTGGCCCCCGGCCTCTTAAGTGAGATGGGCGCACAACCCTAGAGTCTGTCAAGACTGGCCCGTACGGGCAGGGGTACCTTTACCTTTTTATGAAAGTGAATAACACTAGTTGCTTGGATGCAACAGAAGACTGCTATTGCCTGCCATGTCCTGCTCATGGGCTTCTCATGGGTATCTTGATGGTCACTGGCTACTGTGCAAAGCAGGATGCAAGACAAGGTTGGCCTTTGTCCAGATGCAAGAGGGCTCTTTTTAAGTTCTTATGGCATCAGAATGTCTGCTCCTCCTCTGCCACCATTGCCTGTCGGTGAGGCCCTCAGTATGCCCTCTCCCTCTGTGCTTGATCTAGGCAGCCACCCAGAGAAGGCAGGTGGAAGACGCTGTTCCATCTTGTCGCTCTCCTCCATGTTCACATACTCAGAGAGGATGGGCTAGCAACTGGAATTTAGCAAGAGCAAGACAACAAGAAGAGAAGGCACAGCAAGGCCAGGCAGCTCCAGGGTTGGCAGCAATGATGGCAAGCCAAACCTAAGCTTCTCCCATTATGGTGCAGGGTTAGGTCCTTGACCACTGGGCATGCTGAGTGGAGGTCGCAGTCTAATACATCTGGAAGGCACAAGGTTGGGGGAAGCTGCCCAAAACATCACATTTCAATGGAGTTTACCAGGGGATTGCCAGGGCTCCATTACTACTCTGCCTTTTTTTTGAAGGGGGGAGTCGGCCTGACATGATCTTGCATCCCGATTATGGGACAGGATACAGCCTTCATTCTAATCTACAGCTCCGGTGCCTGAAAGGAGAGACAGCCTGTTTACATTTAATCCTGTCGGCTTTATTATGAAATACAGCTTTCCTATTTGGAGTCTCTCTGAAAACACACATGCGCGGGCACATGCACAACGGTATATATGTCACCGGTAATGGCAACCATCTGCAAGCAATATCTCTCTTGCTATGTATCTCATTAGGCACAAACTCCTCTTCGCTTCACCTAATCAAGTGCCAAGTGCTGCATTATTTATGAAAGAAAGCTGAATTTCATTAACACTCTCACTGGGGCATCCAGTTTTTTGTTTTATTTTAATTTTTTTTAAAAAAACCCAATCAATTTCCCCATCTTTAAGGCATTTGCGTTAAGAACTTCCTCTCCTTCACAATTATAGCAAAAGGCTCAAAACAGTGCAATTCATTATGCCACTGGAAAGAGAAATGGAAGTAATACCTTAAATCAGGTTCAGCTTTGATTTCTGTACACAAGAAAAGCAGGATGTGGCGGGGGGGGGGCAAAATGAATTATTCAGAAGAATCCTTCAATGGTGCCACTGCAATTGTCAGGATAAATTTAGGCAGCCTGGCCTTGAACTATTAGAGGTACCACATACACTGCACAAAACTTCCAGTATCAATTATTGCCGCAGTCCTCCCCACGCCATTGTTGCTAGAGAAAAGAAGTCTCTTTGGCTGCCAAAAATGGCGAATTGTAGCTTCAACACAAAAAAGATGTCAAGCAGAAATGGATTTTAAATTTTTAGAGAACTGTTAACTGTTCTTCTATCTGAGACACTTAAAAGTTTTTTTCCATTGCTGTTTGTCATCTCAGTTAAACCAGTGGAGGAAAGGCAATGCCAAACTCAACCAGGGTGGAAGGAGGAACTTGTTGCCATGGATACCATCTACAATCAAGCAAATATACTGTATGAATTCATCTTTCGTTTGCGTCAGGAAGCCACTTAGGAAGCACTGCAGTGAGAACGGGCTGTGGAACTGGCCAAAGTTTAAAGGAGCTCTGAATTTAGGTCAAAAGCCAGGGCCAAAGTTAAACACGAATGCTTATGAGGTTGTCAGTTTTCAATGGTGAACAAGTAGTTTAGGCTGGAACTCAGGCAATGGACAAAATCCAGAGCTGGTCTGCAGAAAAGGGCAGGAACACAGATAAGCATACAGTGGAGCGGAACAGTTAACTGGTATTGCAATAATCAAAACCAAAAAAAAAAAATTCCTTCCAGTAGCACCTTAAAGACCAACTAAGTTAGTTCTTGGTATGAGCTTTCGTGTGCATGCACACTTCTTCAGATACACATATCTGAAGTGTGCATGCACACGAAAGCTCATACCAAGAACTAACTTAGTTGGTCTTTAAGGTGCTACTGGAAGGAATTTTTTTTTTGTTTTGACTATGGCAGACCAACACGGCTACCTATCTGTAACTGGTATTGCAATGTTAGGCAAGAAGAATAAGATAAGAATAACAGAACTGTAAGAATGGAAGGGATTCCCAAGGGTCATTTAGTGGGGTCATCTGGGGCTTTGGAGTACGTTGTCAGCAATATGCTGATGACGCACAGCTCTACTTCTCCTTTACATCTGCTGGTGAGGCAGCGGAAGTGCTGGACCAGTGTCCTGCCTCACTAAGGGACTGGATGAGAGCCGACAAACCAAAGCTCAATCCAGATAAGGATTGAGGCACTGTTAATGGGTGGTTCCCTAGTTTGGATGGATGGGAGACTGCCTGCTCTTGCTGGGGTTGCACTTCCTCTGAAGAAGCAGATGTGCAGCTTGGTGATACTTCTAGATCCATTGCTGTCACTTGAGGCTAAGATGGCCTCAGTGGCACGAAGTGCCTTCCATCAGCTTGGGCTGGTGACCCAGCGGCTCCCCTATCTGGACAGGGATAACCTAACTGCTGCCGTCTGTGCTCTGGTAACCTCTAGGTTAGATTACTGCAACATGTTATACATAGGGCTGCTTCTGAAGACGGATCGGAAACTTCAGCTGGTGCAGAATCCAGTGGCCTGGTTGCTCACGAGGGCAAGCGTGAAAAGGGAATAGAGTAGCCTTCTTTACTCCATTCCGAACCCCTCCCCATCCTTTTTGTGTAATGACAGGGATTCAGAAATGTAGCAGTAGCATGCCAGATATTGCAAACCTGTTTTCATACCAGCACTTTTTAGAAAAGAAAACCAACAAGGAAGAAAGAAAGCAAGCGCAAGAATAAGAAACCCATTCATTCATTTTTGGATGCTTCCAGACAGGGGTTTGATATTGTAAACAGCTTGTTCAGATATTGCAAACGAAGACTTTTTCTAATCATCGGATTTCCCCCAGAGAGGAATATTATGGATTAAACAGAGGGAGACACAAGCTGACATTTTTATGCCAACAGTGTTGGATGAATGCTGCAGGAAGAAAATTTTATGCACGAGGAACATCCATCCCACAATGAACACCCATCTGAAAGCACTCTTTATGTTAAAAAATAGGCAGGTGTTTGGATTGGGGGGTGGGGGGAGTCTGTTTAAAAGCTAATCAGAAAAAGAACTGGGTAGGGCTTCCATGGAAAAAGTAGTTTACTTATACTGGACCATGTCAAGGCCAGTTTGTATGAACCTGTGCATGGGGTAGGTGGGTGTTTGTATGTGTGTTTCCCCATGTGAGTCCAGCCCAGTTATAAGCGTGGCATTAAGCCTGTGCACACCTGAAGTGATTGCACTGGGGCCATCCCCAAGTGTGAATGACTCAGCCCTTTTATTTAACAGCTCTCTGAACTCACGTAGGTGTTTAAATCACTGCCTCCTTTCACCCATAGGTAAAGGACGGAACATCACAAAGATCTCTCTTTATAACATTACAAGGAGCACAACAACATATCCACTGTGTCGTCCTAATTATGTAGGACCTGAAATACTGCGTGACAACCCCATCCTTGTCTTGGCATCCTGAGTTGTGTCAATCAAGGACTCTTCAAAGGGTGGAGTGGTTGATTCCTCCCTGTACAATCAAGTTGGGGGTTTTCAACACCAAGTGCAGTACGCAACTATCTCCGTCAGCTCAGTTGGGGTTCTCTTAAAGTAAAGATAAAGGGACCCCTGACCATTAGGTCCAGTCGTGACCGACTCTGGGGTTGCGGAGCTCATCTCGCTTTATTGGCTGAGGGAGTCGGCGTACAGCTTCCGGGTCATGTGGCCAGTGTGACTAAGCCGCTTCTGGCAAACCAGAGCAGCGCACGGAAACGCCGTTTACCTTCCTACCGGAGCGGTACCTATTTATCTACTTGCACACTTTTGACGTGCTTTCGAACTGCTAGGTTGGCAGGAGCAGGGACTGAGCAACGGGAGCTCGCCCTGTCGTGGGGATTCGAACCGCCAACCTTCTGATCGGCAAGCCCTAGGCTCTGTGGTTTAACCCACAGCACCACCCGCGTCCCTTGGGGTTCTCTTGGGCAGCACTATAATGTCCAGCCTGCCTTGATTCCCCAGCACAATATACATTCATGAATTACGGGCCCCAGTCTGTTGTGGATGCCTTTGCAATGAGACAGAATTCCAGCAGCCTCTTCTCCTCTGGCATTGATGATGAACAGAGTCCCTAGCCTTTTTTTAATGGCCCTCTGGTTTTGCCCCCATATTCAGGTAATCTGAACCATATCCACAGCCTTCACAGCCCCTCCCAACTTTACAGCAGTTTCTAAATTGACATCCCATGGTAGGTATGATGAGGTAGGAGAGAAAGCA